GACTGGGGTAATTGGGATGGGTGTGTCAGAGGCAGTGCGGTTGGCACAGGATAGAGCAGGGTTTAGGCCTGTTGTGCATAGGGTTGCTATGAGTCACAAACGACCCGACGGCACATAACAACAAACAGCAACATGCAGAACAGATCATTCCAAATCTGATCTTTGTGAGGAATGTGGCATCTGGATTGGAAGAAGACTCATCAACAACTTGCATTATACAGAAAATACAACCTTGCTAGCCAAAATGGAGAAGGACCTGAAGCATCTGCTGCAGAAGGTCAAGGATTGCCATCTTCAATTTAGATTGAAGCTCAACATTAAGAAGACAAAGACTGTCACCACTCAGCCAATTGGCACCACCATGATACTTGGAGAAGGGATTGAGATTGTTAACCATTTCAGCTTGCTTGGGTCCATACGCTCTTGAAATGAGCAGCCAGGAAAGCAAATGAGAAATTGGATTAGGAAAGTTTATTGTCAGGGACTTCTCCAGAGTGCTGAAGTGCAGCAATGTCAGTGTGGAGAATACAGTGTGCCTGATTCTTGCCATAGTCTTCTCAATTACTTTCTATATATCAGAGAGCTGGATAATGACTAAGGATGACAGAAGAATAATTGATTTGAGTTGTGGTGCTGAGAAGAGTGTTGAACATACCATGGACTACCAAAAGAACAAAAGGGTCTGTCCTGGAGAGGGTGAAACCAATTGCTGTCTATAGGCAAGGATTTTAAAGCTTTTTCTCACATACTTTGAGCCTTTTTCCAGGAAGAACATTGCCAGTCCTTGGAGAAGGAGAGACAAGGCAGGAGAGAAAAACCCTGGATGAGATGGATTGACACGGTGAATGGGGTAATTGGGCCAGGTGCATCAGAGACAGTGAGACTGGCTCCTGATAGGACAGGGTTCAGAACTATTGTACATAGGGTCTCTATGAGTCACAGGAAACTCAGTGACACATAACAACAGCAGCAGCATTATTTTTTTGGAAGAAATGAATAGATGAATAAATCATTTATCAATCAGCGGGAAAATATTGATGTCTCAAACATTAGCCAGAGGGGCTAGTTATAATCATCATTGAGACCTTATAGAGGACCCTGTTGAAAACTGTGATTATTAAAATGAAAAAGAGATTGCATAAGATGACATCACTATTGTACAGGAAGGTCCGCTCCCTTTTTTGCCACAGGCAATTCCCATCAATTTTCTTTCTTGCTTTCTTGAATCTGTCCCAACTTTTCCATTCTCACTGCTACAATCTCAGTTGTCCTGTTATTTCTAAGAGTAGAAATTATATACTTCAACACAGTTAGGATGTTTTTATAAATATCAATCATTTAGGATTTTCATTTAGTTCAACTTTAAATAATACCATCTTTATGGCCTATAGCCACACATTCATTTAGAGGATAATTGTTAGTCTCAGTTTCATGAGACCTTGATACTTAGAACTTCCTCAGATAATTGCTTTTCTTTTCCTCTTTATTTAATTGCTTTGACATTCTTAGGTCTTTATATTGAGATTTATTTTTTTTTAAGATTTGTAACTTTTATTTTAGAACTCTCAAGTCAAAAACAATGCCAAACCAAAATATCCATGAAGTCAGTTTTGAATCATTAGCAACCCTTTGGGACTGAGTAGAATTATGTCAGAAGGTTTCCTTATGGAAACAGACTGCTTAATTTTTCACCTGTGGAGTAACGTAGGAGTTTAAACAATTGACCTGTTGATTTACAGTTAAGTGCTACCACCACAGCTTCTTATATGAGCAAATAAGCTATTCTCTTTTGAAATATAACACTTTCAGGACATATAAATAATTCAACTTATTCTCAGGAATAGTTTTAGTGTGTGAAGTTGTAAAAGGAGTAAGGACCACGTAAGCACAGGGTATCTGACCTCAACTAACTCCACAGAGGGGAGCTATCCTGTCAAAAACATCAATAACTTTTATGAAACACAGTGTGAACGAAGAATAGTGTGAAACACCATGTATACCAGACTTTTTAAGAAAATCAATAAAAAAATAAACTAACACCAACATGCTGAATGATTTTTATATTTAACAATCAAAGCATCAACACCACAAACCAGTTTCTATGAAGTCAGACATGTCCCCCACACTCTAACACCTGTTTCTACTCATCCCAACACCAATTCTACCGCTTTACTGGGCCCCAAATCCGTTGCAATGGCTCACAGACCACATAGAACTGTATTAGGGAAGTCAAAAGGCTGTAGTTCAGATTAGTAGCAGAATACCGTCACTCATGACAGCTTCCTAAATGTGCTCACAGGCACCTCAGACGTCAGCCTTGTGACTTTAGGCTCTTAGTCTTGCCATTTATGACTCTCCCTTCACATTACATGTTGCTCCAGTCCTCTGACAGACTTAGGCAAAAGGTTCCTAGTTCCGGTCCTGTGGCATAGCAGTCCCAAGGTCAGCCCTCATATGGCTGTTTCAAGAATAACTAAACCTGAAGGATGCGTTACATTTTCTTTCTTATTCTTTTCTGATGATGACCTTCTCAAATTCTGCTGCTGAATTTGCTTAATTTAATTGTGAGCCTAGCCAGTTCTCTTGTGGATGGCCTAACACTCCCTGTTTGCATTTTTTTTTTTTTTTAAGCCCATCCTGTTTGCATTTTCTTGCCCATCTACCCGGCAAAGTCAGTCAATGACTAGGGAATCCATTTTGAACAATAAACCCTTAACACCATAGGATTTCTTTCATACATAAAACAGATTTTTTTGGTGTGTATAATGTTTTAAATAACCTTTGTATGTTTCAGGCAGAGCTTGAGAATAAACTACAACGGCAGGTAAAACAGGCAGCACAGGAGCTCACAGAAGAGAAAGAAAAAATGTCAGTGTTACAAAACAGCTATGAAAAAAGTCAGGAAAATCTGAAACAGCTTCAATCAGATTTCTATGGGAAGGAATCTGAGCTTCTTGCCACAAGGCAGGATCTTAAGGTATAGTAAAAAATATTCAGTAAGTTGTTTATAGACTTTCATTAAATGATTGATTTGTAAGAAAAAAAAATTATTTGTACCAAATTGACATAAGAATGTGTTTATGGAATACTGTGGTGGTTTCTATTTTTTGGATATCTGGGGTGATGTGGTATGTTAAGTGCAGGGCTGCAGATCAGCTAACTGCTCTGTGGGGAAGGATGAGGTACTCTGCTCATGAAAAGATTTAGAGTTTTGGAAACCCAGTCAGTGGAGAATTGCTGTGAATGGGAATGGACTTAGATAGCAATGGGTTTATATGCTGTTTTTATGTGTTGAAGGATATTTTATATAAACACGGAAACTCAGGTGACTTTACTGTTACTTCTCAGGGAATATTGACTTAGTTTTAGGTATTTATCTCCTTTTCAAAATTACTAAAGTGTCTAATGATTAAAATGAGACAATTATATTCAAGGTGAACTTAACCTTGAACTTTCAACTATATATTGAAAGTTTGTCCTTTACATTACTTGAATAGATGAGGTTTCTAAGATTAAGGGCATATCAGATGGTAAGCATTTATATATATATAGCATATCAGTTTTCAAAAGGAAATGGAATGACCATATTCTCTTGTAGGCAATTCAGTCAGTTCTTCTTCCTATTTCTCTCTCTCTTTCTTTTCTTTTTTGGTGTATTTCAAGATGAAATAACATGTTTCCTGTTTCTCATATGTTTATTTTTTGTGTTTAAAGCATATTGTTACAGAAACCTATTGAAAAAAATGACAAAATATTACAATATACCGCATATGTCTTATTTTTAGGCTAGAATAGATTGTTTTATGAAGGAAGTCAGACTTAAGGATAGGTAGAATTTAGATACACAGAATTCTATGAAAGATCATTTCACATCAGGACACATCTAAGAAAAGATAGCAGGGTGGGAATAATAAGCAAAGCTTGGAGATGGTAAATTCAGAATTAGCAAGAGTTATAACTAAAGAACACCGTTCCTATTTAGATGATATTTTATATGTTCTTGGAAATAATTTTACAATGGTAACATTATAATATTTACTAAATTGCTATTTTATAACACTGTTGAGAAGCAGGGAGTAATAGAGGAATTTGGACTCCTGAAAGCAATATAGAGCTCAGAAGGGATGTACTTAGAATTGTATTTTAGGCAAATGGCTGCAGGATGAGAATGGATGTAAAGAGTAGTCAGAATAAAGCATGGAACTTTGACAGTCTCCAAGAACAGTAAGGATCCAGGAAAACGGTTTTATTTTTAAGGAAGCAAATTCCTGTGTAAGTTTTAATTATAATCCAAAAGAAGTCATAGTCATCAAACATTAATTTGCCTTAGTAATGCTTTGTGAGCTAATTGTATATAAGAAAGATACTCAGAAACTGATTATATGACACCTACCTAACTAAGTCAAGGCTGATTACCCAAGTATCTCATGATTGTGAGTTTAGTGTACACTCTAGGACACCAGTAGAATAAAAGACAATCTGGCCTCAACTTTGCCTCTAGCACCATCTGCTGGGTTATTTGTGATAGACTCAATTTGTTGACTGGATATTTCACATTAACTGTGCTTTGTTGTTAAGATAGAAGTGAAATTTTAACTGTACATTTTCTACCCTGAGTTATGTGAAAATTTTAGGATATTAAGTTTTGAATTAATATTAATTTCTTGGCTAGTACAATTCTTTCTATTATTTCATCAGATGTCAAGAAAAAGTAGGTAAAAAATTTTTAAGTTTTACTTTGGAGGAAGAGTGCGAAAACTTTGTGAACAGTCAAAATTGAATACCTTCCATGGAACACTATAGAAACAATTTTTTACAAGAGTACTATAATGTGATATGAAGCAGGAGTGGCATCCGCTCCCTAAATAACATGCCTCCGGAAACCCTATGAACTTTGATAAATGTCGATAGTTCTAGAGGGGCTTCAAGCCTTTTGTTCATAGGATTGTAATGAGTTGTGGTCAACTTGAAGACAATCAACAACAGCAACTATAATGTGATTGACATAATTAGAGTGAAGGTTGATAGTTGAGCTACACTCAGAGATTAGTCTATTCCAGTTAGAGTAGACAGTTTAAAGATAACCTCCCGTACAGTAACTCTCCTCCCCCCAAAACCAACCACACCACACAAGAAGAAATGAATGTGCAGTAGGAGAGAGAGGTTTCCTAAAGGAAGAAATGCTGAACACATTAAAAGAACTTGATGTGCTACGTAAAAGAGAAAAGGAACATTTAAAACACTTGGCAGTGACAGGTAAATATTAAAAGGCAGGTGGAGCAATATGTCTTGGCATCTTCAGACTTCCATAGATTTCATGGAGCTGTCAAGATTCCGAGTTTGACTTAATAGAATCAGCCACTGGATTTTGTGAATTTATGTTTGTAGGCTAATTAATTAGGTTAATTAAATATAAGCTCCTTAAAGTGAAGGACCATCTTATATTCTGCTATTCCATCATAACAGGATATTCAACTACTTATTAGCTCCCTGATTAATAAAAATGTACATAACTTTAGTTCTTCATTTTAAACATTTTTTATCCTTCTTTTATTGAATACTTGCTATATTGTATACAAACCTTTCAGGTCTCTTTTTCCTGAACTGTATCCCCTTCTACTCTTTTGAAAGTCCTGTATCTTAAAAAAAAAAAAAGGCTACTTTATTCTAGATGTTACAAAGAGCGTCTCAGAATTGATTCTCTATCCTACTCAGTCTTAATAGAAGTAGTAGAAAATAGCAAGGTTTTCACCATTCCCAATGGTTATATTTACCTTAAAATGTAATTTGGCAGTAAAAAAAAAAAAGCTTACTCTTCATTTTACCCAGCTTCAGCTTCTCAAAATATTTGGGTCTTAAAACAGTCAGTCGCTATGAACTGTACCAGTTACTTCAGATAGCCATATAGAGTAGAGGGTGGAGGAGGTGTGCCTTTCCAGGATTAGAGCCTTACTTGTCTAACTGGCTTTTTTCTCAGTTTAGTTTACATGCTCCGAAGTTGGTAGATATGAAATACAGATATTTTTTCCCAAGACAAAAACTGCATCTTTCTTATTAAAGACTCTTAGTATGTCAAGAGATACCATAAATCCTACAAGACAGACATAATGTAACTTTTAACAATAACTTCTTATGAATAGTTTCCATTTATGTATCCCACTGTCTCCACTCTAGCGGTCTATTAATGTTCTCTGATTGTATTTGATATGGTTCCAACTTATTTGATGTTCCTTCATCACCTAGTCATTATTTGAGATGTAATAAGAACTCTGTCAGTACTTACAAATAGATGTTTCAAGGTTTTTCAACTGTTTGAGTCTTAGAGATTTGAGTTTTATACTGTAAATATTGACATACAAATGTTAATAATCTAGAATTCTTTGTCTTTTACTTAGTCTTTCTGAAAGGCTATCATTTTATAGTATAATACTTACCATTGTGGTTAGTTAAGTTTCTCTTGAAATTTGTTGAAAAATAGCATATAATAATTTGGGGAAATGTTTTTCTAAGACTGTAGAGGAGAAGCTTTCTCTAGCACAAGAGGACTTGATTTCAAACAGAAATCAAATTGGAAGTCAAAATAAATTGATTCAAGAACTGAAGACTGCCAAGGCTACTTTGGAGCAGGATTCAGCTAAGAAGGAACAGCTATTGAAGGAGCAGTGTAAAACACTACAAGATGTTCAAAAAGAGAAGGTATTTTCTTTTTCTTCCTTAACCTGGAATTTTTAGAATGTAGAGGTCACAGACACCACTCCTTTAACTAGTATAACTGTCACCCTTATCTTCAACAACTTTTTCAGATAGCTCACTAGTTTCTGCTAAGACACTTTTGATAATTGGAATTTTAACTGTGTTTTTTCTTTAATGTCCAGTTCATTTTAAGTGCTTCCTTGGCTTTTCTGATGTTTTTTTAGATTTACAAATAAATGTGGTTTCTCATCAGAGACTTTGGTTATTTGAAAGCATATGTTATAGCTTCAACTATTGAAAAAGAAATGTGTTGTTACTTAGATATGTACAAAATTATAAAAGATATAGAAATAATTCTTAGGTTGTTAAGAATTCTTAAAATAGAGCACCAGTTTCTGCTAAGGAAAACTAGATGTTATCTTTCAAAATACATGCTTATATAAAAGAGAAGGAAGAAAAGTGATCCAACAGATTGTGGAAACTCTCAAACAATATCATTAATGTCACATGCAAACAAAATACTGCTGAAAATCATTCAAAAATAGCTAAAAGAGTACATAGATAGGTAACTCTAAAAGTTCAAGCAGAGTTTAGAAGAAGCCATGGCACCAGAGATATCATTAAGGATGTCAGATGGATCCTGGCTGAAAGTAAAGAATATCAGAAGAATGTCTATTTATGCTTTATACAAAGACATTTGACTGTGTAGATCATAACAAGTTATGTTTAATATTGAGAACAATGGAAATCCCACAGCAATGACTTTTACTCATGTGAAACCTATACCAAGAGGCCATTGTGTGAACAGAGCAAGAGAACACGGTTGTTGTTAGGTGCTGTCAAGTTGTGGACAACTCATAGCGACTCTATGAATGAAAGACCTCAGCACTGTTCATAGAGTTTCCTGAGACAAGCCATTTCGGAAGTGGATGCCACTCCTGCTTCCAAGCTTGTTTCATTCGGGTAACCATGGATAACCATTATCACATTTGGCACATCAGTGTCACAGAGTTTCACATCACAGCAACCATTGCACAGTTTAAAATTAGGAAGGAAGTGCATCAGGGTTGTATTCTCTCTCCATACCTATTCAGTCTGTATGCTGAGAAAATTATCCGAGAAGTTGGACCCTATGAAGCAGAATGTGGCATCAAGATTGGAGGAAATTCATCAATAAACTACGTTGTGCAGATGACACAACCATGCTTGCTGGAAGTGAGAAAGACTTGAATGAAGCACTTTTTGTAGAAGATCTATGAATAAAGCTTTCAATATGGACTGTATCTCAACATCCAGAAAATAAAATTCTTACCTCTGGACTGATAAGTAACATTATAATAAATGGAGAAAAGATTGAAACTGTCAGCAACTTCATCTTACTTAGATCCACAGCTAACACTCTTGGTACCAGCAGTTAGGGAATCAGGAGACATATTGCGGTGAGAAAGTCTGCAGTTATAGACCTCTCCAAAGTATTGAGGAGTAATGGTGCCAGTTTGAGAACTAAGGTGTGTCTGATTCAGGCCATGGTCTTTCAGATCACTTGCTGTGTCCTTGAGAGATGGACAGTGAATAAGGATGACAGAAGAAGAATTGATGCCTTTGAGCTGTGGTTTTGGAGAAGAGCACTGAATGTTCCTCTGGACGACCGAAAGAATAAACAAATATGTGTTGGAGAGAGTACAGCCAGAATGGTCTTTGGAGGCAAAGATGATAAAGCTTTACTTCACATAATTTGGGCATGTTGCTAACAGACGCTAGGTCTTAGAAAAGAACATTGTGCTTGGAAAATTGGAGGAACGGAGAAAGAGAGGAAAACCTTGAACCAGAAGAAGTGTTGCAGTGACTGTAGCAGTGGGCTCAAGTATGTCAGAGCTTTTGATGATGGCACAGACTAGAACAGAGTTCAAATCTGTTGTTCACGGGGTCATATGAGACATACTTAACTCCTAAGAACAACCAACAACAACTTCTGCAGTCCAAAATAGGCAGAATATACAATCAAAATACATTCATAATAATTGTGTCTGGAATGCAAGAGTTAGAAACAAAGAAGCAGTAGTGATAGTAAGAAATTATGGACATGGTGACAGAAATAAGCTTGGAGATTGAATGAATTTTGTACAATCAATGATTTATTACAAATGCTTTCTTTAAAAAGCACAAATGGTGTCTACACATGGACCTAATGTGATTGCCTACACAGAAATTAAGATTTATTACAACTGCAGAAAAAAAATCATTGGAGAAGCTCAGTATCATCTGAGAAAACTAGACCAGGTGATGACTGGGGCACAGACCATCAGTTACTCACATGTAAGTTCAAAGTGTAGCTGGAGAAAATTCCAGAAAATCTACCAAAGAAAGCATAGAATCTTGAGGTTTATACAACTTGAATTTAAAAACTATCTCAAAGTAGAATTGAGGCATGGGTCACTAATGCTTGGAGACCAGATAAACTGTGGGATGCCATTAAGAATATCATCTAGAAAGAAAGTAAACAACCATTGCAAAGACAGAGCACAAGAAAAGACCAAATAGATGTCACAAGAAACTCTGAAAAAAGCACTAAAATGTAGAGAAGCCAAAACAGAGGTGGGGAATGGCAAAGCCAGAGATTTGAACAGAAGATTTCAAAGGGCAGCACAAGAAGACAAAACAAAATATTATGCTGCAATGTGCAAAGAGATAGAAAATAAAAAGTGAAAAAATTGCTTGGCATTTTTCAAGCTGAAAGAACTGAAAAACTAATTCAGTCTGACACAGACCAGTTCAGTAAGTAGTGTTTCTGACAACAGACTTTCCAAATGCAATTAGTCTTTTAATTTCCTGGTTGCTGATATCAAGAATGTTGATTGTAGAGCCAAGCAAACTGAAGCTGTCAACAATCTCAATCTCTTCACCATCTATCATGATGCTGCCCATTGGTGAGAATCTTTGTTTTCTTGATGTTGACCTTCAATCCATATTGATGGCTGCAGTCGTTGGCCCTCTGCAGCAAGCACTTCAGGTCCTCCTCAGTTTCAGCGAGGAGGGTTGTGTCATTTGTGTAACGCAGACTGTTGATGAGTCTTCCTCCACTCCTGATGCCACATTTCTCCTCATAGATAGAGCCCAGCCTCCCAGATGACCTGTTCTGCATATAGATTGAAAAGGTATGGAGATAGGATACATCCTTGGCATACACCCTTCTTAATTTAGAACCATGCAGTGTTTCCTTGCTCTGTTCTTACTCCTGGTCCAAGTATAGGTTTCACACAAGCACAATCAAATGTTCTTGAATTCCCATTCTTCTCAGAGTTAGCCACAGTTTATTGTGATTCAACACAGTAAAATGCCTTTGCCTAGTCAATAAAACACAGATAGAAATTCCTCTGGTATTCTCTGCTTTCCGCCAAGATCCATCTAATATAGTCTATAATATCCCTAGTACCACACCATAACACCAGGAATATTATTTCTTGTCAGATCGATCTTGGCTGAATGCAGAAAATACCAAAAGAATATTTATTGTGTTTTATTGACCATGTAAAGGCATAGACTGTATAGATCATAACAAAATATGGCTAACAGTGAAAAGAATGGAAATTTAAAAACATTTAATTGTGCTCATGTGACATCTGTACTTCAAGAAGCTGTTGTGCAAAGGGAACAAAGGAACACCACATGGTTTAAAATCAAGAAATGTATGTGGCAGATCTGCATCCTTTCTCCATTACTATTCAATCTGTATGATAAATCATCAGAAGGCTAGACTTTATTAAGAAGAGTGTGGCATAATGATCTGAGGAAGACTCCCCAATAACCTGCATTATAAGGATGACACAACCTTGCTTGCTGGAAGCAGAGAGATCTTGAAACATGCCACAGAAGATCAAAGATGGATTACATCAAGAAAATCAAAGTCCTCAACACAGGGCTAATAGTCATGCTCCATGGAGAAAAGATTAAGTAGTCGATTATTTCATTTTACTTGGATCCACAATCAATATCCATGGCACCAAAAGTCAATTGAAGGCATACTACCTTGGATAAATATTCTGTCAAGAACCTTTACCTCTCTAAGGTCTTTAAGAGAAATAATGTCAGTTCTAAAGCTAAGGTGCATCTCATTCAGGCCATGCTCTTTTTAATTACTTATTATGCATCTGAAAGTTAGATAATAAATAAAGATGAGAGAGGAAGAATTTTTTTTTTTTTAGTTGTGGTATCGGAGAAGAGTACTGAATATCCCATGAACTGGCAAAAGAAAAAATATAAGTATGTCGTGTGAAAAGTACAACTAGGGTGCTCTTTGGAGGCATAGGTGATGAATTTTCATCACACATATTTTGGGCATGCTGATGTCCTTGATAACGGATCTAATGTTTAGAAGGATAGAGGGTCAACAAAAGAGAAGAAGCCCCACAACACAATGGATTAACACAGTCCCTGTAATAGTGGGCTCAAGTATATCAGAAATGATGAGGATGGAACAGGGCAAGGTTGAGATCCATTGTTCACAGAGTGGTTACCTTGTTGTTGTAGCTGTTGCCTTGGAGTTGAACGTGACTCATAGCAAGCAACCCTATGAAGAAAAGGCCTGAAGCCCCTCTACAACTATCAACATTTATCAAAGTTCATAGGGTTACTGGAGCCATGTTATTTAGGAAGTGGATGACACTCCTGCTTATGCCAAGTTGTAAAGCTGGTTTATATGACTAGTATTCTTAAAAAGGAAGGAGGAGTGGCATCCACTTCCATAATAGCTTGCCTCCGGAAAGCCTATGAACCTGGGGAGAGGATGAAAGGCACCCAAGCGTTGAGGACTTTCCTTCATAGGGCCGCTATGAATCCCCTGCGGCTTGATGGCGCTTAACAACAACAACAAACATTCTTAAAAAAATGGAAGTCAAAAAGAGGTTTTTTTTTGTTTTTTTCCCCTTTGGTGGTATAATTGGAAGACTATATTTCTATTGTTTGTGCCATCTAGTAAATTCTAACTCATAATGACTCTAAAGGACAGAGTAGGACTTTTTGTAGAGATTCCAGAATTACTAGTGAGTTTGAACCACTGACCTTTCAGTGTTTTACTTGCTTAACAACTGTGCTACCAGTACTGTTATTATTCTGAATGTATGATTCCTGAAGTTCTTCACTATTCTAAGTTTTGTATTTTCTGAAATTGTCTTTTGTTAAGAAAACATTTGGATATTTTTGTGAAGGTAGAGATGAAGGTCGAAACTGGAGTATAATTAAAGACTTGTGCCTGAAGTGTAGAAAATTCTGACAGAACTATAATTTATAAGAAATATATTTTAAGGAAGTCTAATAGTGTAGTGTGATAAGTGTTACATTGCTAAATGAAGGGCCATTGATTCAAATTCAGCAGATGTTACCCAAGAAAAAGAGGAAGCAGTCTCCTCCCACAAAGACTTAGAGTCTCAGAAACCCAGTGGAGGCTCGCTATGAATGGAACTAACTGAATTTAAGTGAGTTTGGTTTACCATTTACAGGAGTGCAATTGCATGGACTTGATAGCAAGCAGACCTTATTTTACTTAGTGTTGGCTCTGTCTCTATTGAGCTTCTTTCAATTCTCTAAATATTTTTTTATTTGTCTATAAAATGGTAATAAAAAGCTGATAAGTAATAAATCAGAGTTTATGTAATGTTCTAACTGGATTCCTGATATTAAAATGTTTATGATACTAATAATAAAATTAATAACAGTCATAGTTCTGGCTAACTTTTAGAGCAGTTTTACTCTTGCCACACCATGCCTTTTTACAGTATTAACTTTATTTAATCCTTATAATAATCTTATTATTCACATTGTACAAATAATTAAACAGATACAAGAGTCAATTTACTCAAGTTAAATTAGTTGGGAAGGGGGAGAGCCAAGGTCATAAATTTTTTTATCCTTGATTTTTAGTTAAGTACTTGCTTTTAAATAATTTTTAATAATTATTTTTTCTGCAGTCACTGAGAGAAAAAGAACTAGTAAATGAAAAATCTAAATTGGTAGAGGTAGAAGAAATAAAGTGTAGACAGGAAAAAGAAATTACTAAACTAAGTGAAGAACTTAAGTCTCACAAGCAAGAAAGCATAAAGGTATGTTAAAATATATTTCTTCTTCTTATATTGTGTTATTTAAGTAATCATATAGAGAGAGAGACAGACAGACAGACAGACAGACAGCACAAGGCAGAGAGAGAGAGAGAAAATCTGCTATGTATTATTTTACCACAGTGTTCTTGTGTAGTGTGTATACATACTGAAATTTTTTTTCAGGTTGTTGAGTAAATCAAAGTAAATATAAGAGTTTATATTTTTATTAAAATGATAGTCAAGTGAGACATTGATTTAGAAAATTTTGCTTGGAGAATAATCTTCAAAATGTACTTTGAGGAGTTTTGATTTTTCAATTATTTCACTTTCAATTACTTCTAAAATTCTTAAATGATATCTTTTTTTTTCTTTGAATATTTTATGAACAGGAAGGATGTCAAATGGAAACTAATTATCATTTGTAAATAATTATTAATTTTCTTAGTGAAAGGTTAAGTTCTCTCTAGGAAGTGTCATCATAATATCCTATTTCTATCATTAGACTTTCCCTTTTTATTTATAATTAATTATTTTGTGTCATTCTCTTCTTCCAGACTACTACTTAAAGCAGAAAATATATGTAGTTAATCCTTATAAGATATCCTCAGACTGTAGCACAGCATCTAATGCATGAATAATCACCAATAAAGTTTACTTAATGAAAGAAGTAAAATAAAGGGTAGTGATTATTCAAATAATTAAAGCATATACATGCCTACTATCACAAATAATTTCATTTTTTGTGTGTGTGTACCGTCAAATCGGATATGACTGGTACAGGAGGAGATTGCCCCAATAATTTTAAAATAATAGAAAATTATTTAAATAAATTTTGAGCACAGGATATGAATAACCTTGCATTTTTTTTAAATCAATCAAAGTACCAACATTTAACAGTGTTATGTGACTGGAACTCATTATCCTGTTTGTTATGATGAACTATGTAAATTTCAACTTAAAAATAAGATAAAAGATGATTTTTTTACTATACTTTTTAACAGGAAATAACAAATCTCAAGGATGCCAAACAGCTTTTAAGTCAGCAGAAATTAGAGCTTCAAGGCAAAGTAGATGCGCTGAAGGCTACTCTTGAACAGGAGAAGAAAAGCCAGCAAGTGCTAAAAGAGCAGGTGAAAAAGGAAGAGGATGAGCTGAAGAAAGAATTCACTGAGAAGGAAGCCAGACTGGTCAGTGGGTAACGTGGGGAGGGACGTGTATCTGTTTTCATAGGCTCAGAGTCAATCCAGGGAGAGGGGATTTTTCCTACTTGGAAATTATAATTGAAATATTCATCTGGAATTTTAATTTTTTGAAACAGGAGTCCAATTTGTATAAATAACTGGCTTGTGCTTGGAAATATTTTTCTCTGTAATCAGATTTTAATTTCTGTAGGTGAAAATCAGTGTAAAGTAGAACTAAAAAAACTCCCCCAAAACTTGACCTCTTTTAGTATCACACAATGTAAATCGAAGTAAATGCCTATCATTTTAAACTCATTTGTTTCTTCAAAGTGAATGTTGATATAGGGGAATGGTAATGTTAGTTTGCAGTTATGATAACCAAAGTCCATTTTTCCATTCCCAAGTTGTACCTGCCAAATGGGAAGCATCTGGCTTTCCTCTATTGAATTACATCCAAATATCTCTAGCTAAGTTGACCTCTGAATGTTGTAGTTGAGGTTCAAGCAGTACTTGGAAGGGTTTGTATTATTTTCTAGCTGGTTGATAGAGAAGAAAGGATAACTATGGAGTTCAGAAACATACGAAAATGCCAGCTCTGTCTCCATGGTGCTCTAAATTCTTATCTATGTGTATCTTGCCCTGCTCAAGTGAAAAAGAAAAATCTCAAACTGCTCCACTTTTACTTATCATTTTAAGGAGCTGGCAAATCCATCATTTCAACTTAAAGAACCCATATATTTGCAGAATCAGTTTTACTAACATATACACGTACTCCTTACTTATTGACTATTTTACTTTGCAACATTTTGTATTTATGACAATAATAAGAAATCTATCATCCAGATCTTTGCACATTGCCATACTTATGGCTCTAAGCTGCTTACAGTGGGAGGTGAAAGTAACTCGAGCTCTGATGGTTAAAGTTACATGTCATCTGTGGAACCTTCATTCCCAATGGCTTGCCGGTTATGCAGAAATGTAATTTGGCCCTCTATAATGACATAGTTGTCTCCATTTTAAGATCTATTTGATCATCCCCCGTTTTTGTATAATTTTTAAATAATGACTCTCTTTGGAATTTATCCATGCTAATAAGTGAGGAATGGGTATAATGAAATGTGTCCTTCTGCATCCTTACCTGAGGAAGTAATGTGGTGTTTATTGTACACTACTTTTCTAAGTCTTTCCCCCATTTTTCCTTTACTAGCATTCTGAAATCAAAGAAAAAGAGTCAGGAATCAAGAAACATGAAGAAAATGAGATTAAATTTACCATGCAGATTACTGCATTAAATGAGAACTTAGGGACCGTAAAGAAAGAGTGGCAGTCCAGTCAACGGAGAGTCGGCGAGCTTGAGAAGCAGACAGATGACCTGCGGGGTGAAATCGCAGTGTTGGAGGCAACGGTACAGAATAATCAAGACGAAAGGAGAGCACTCCTAGAAAGGTGATTGATGGTATAATTAATGTCTTGTAAATAGCAAAAAAGATTAGCATAGCCCACATTTTCTTCTGAGTTGGAACAGAGATGGATCTTGAGGTGACTTTAAAAAGAAAAAAAGGAAACCACAATAATCTTTCACTAATCTATTCCAGATGTCTTAAAGGTGAAGGTGAAATAGAAAAGCTTCAGTCCAAAGTAGTAGAGTTGCAGAGAAAGCTGGATAACACAACTGCAGCAGTGCAGGAGCTGGGCAGAGAAAATCAGTCCCTTCAGGTAAACCCTCGGTGACGTGAGATAGCAGAGAGCATAGATTCAGCCTCTCTGTTGGCGTTTTTCCCCTCCTTATATTATTAAGATATTCTTTTGAATAATTACTATCTATGTCAGTACTGTAAATGTTTGTGAAACTAAATATAGAAGATAACTTGTCTAAGAGGCCCCGGGCTTTATTTAGAGAGCATGCCTTTCATGAATTGTGAGTACTAGACAAAAATGACAGAATTCAGAAATGCTAAAGAATAGATGAGTCGATGTGTGTGTATAGATGATCAGAATGATCAAAGTATGTCTTCAGTGCCCTGAGGATGGGCAGAAAATCCCCAAGGATTAGAAATCACTGGTGCCTTTGAGGAGTAAAATTTGATTTAATTTTACTTTTATTTTACCATGCAGATTTATCTAGCAATTTTGATACAGAATTCGAGGATTTTAATATTTTATCTAAAGTTGCTTAGAGTAAAATACATACATACATGTATACATGTATATATATTTGCCTTCCAGGTAGATGAGTGTTGGTTTTGGGGTGTTTTTTTTTTTATAACAGCGTTCAGAATCGAGTTTCCTTCCATTGTCGCCTCCCTAAATAATCTATAGCACCCTCTGTTTTGAAGATGTGTGTGTGTGTGTGTGTGTGTGTTTATATACATATATATATATACTCCGTTCCCAACTTAGAACTATTCATTAAAACAGTGATTCTTATATTAAAACATTTTGTTTTGTTTTGTTTTTAAATAGATCAAACAGACACAAGCATTGAATAGAAAATGGGCTGAAGACAATGAAGTACAAAACTGTATGGCTTGTGGGAAAGGCTTTTCGGTAACAGTGAGACGGGTAAATGATTTTGTTTATAAAGCTATAGTTCTTCATTTTATTCTTTAGTTTTAACCAAAATGTTTTACCTATTAAAATAGCCTGGCATTTCACAGATTTTACAACTTTCCCACTTATTGGTAAGCTTGTAATTTATATATGCTACATATATTCATTAAACTTGATGCCTAGTGGGTAAAGGTTGAGCTGCTAACTCAAAGGCCGTGGTTTTAAACCACCAGCTACTCCACAAGAGCAAGACGGGCCATCTCCTCTTTTGCAGTTTACAGCCTCTAAAAACCTGCTGGAGGGTCAGCTTTGACTTGGTTCTAACTTGACAGCAATGAACAGCATGAGTTTGTGATTTATATATAAATATAGATTTGAATGATAATGTCCTGCATTCCAATAATTTCTGTACTACAGTTTCACTCTGTGGACTCATTATTTCTTTTTTTTTTAATTCAGATTTTTACGTAAGTTTACAGAGAACTTGGATTTCCATTCATTCATTGTTGTACATTTTCCTCCCTGCCCATCTCCCTAGTTCGCTTTTCTCTTTGAAAATAAAAAAATTCTTTTACTGTTGTACAATTCCCTACCCCCACCCCAGTCCATCTTACTATGCAGTTCTTATTCTGGACTGTTGTACAAATAATACCTAATCATATATTCCTTTTAAGCAATTCTTTCTTATCTGTTTCAATGCATTGTACATTATTTATCCCCTCTTTTCTTAGTTTCTCCCAACCCCGATGTCAGTCCTGTTTTACAACAAAGGCATTATGCAGTATTTGCCCTTTTGTGACTGAGATATTTCACTTAGCATGCCCTCCAGGGTCACTAATTTTGTATAGTATTTCATGAGTTCTTTGTTTTTTCAGTGCTGCATAGTATTCCATTGTGTGAACAGACCACAGCTTCTCTATCAGTTCATTTGTTGATGGGCACTTGGGTTGTTTCCATCTCTTTGCTATTGTGACCAATGCAGCAGTAAACATGGGTGTGCCTATATCTGTTTGAGTGGCAGTTCTGGTTTCTTTAGGGTTAATTCCCAGTAGTGGCATTGCTAGGGCAAATGGTATTTCTATTTCCAACTTTTTGAGAAAGCACCATACAGCCTTCGATCGTGGTTGCACCATTTTACACTCCTACCAACAGTGAATAAGGGTTCCAGTTTCACCACAATCTCGCCAGCATTTGTTGTTTGCTGCTCTGTTGAATTTTGCTATTATTACTATGGTGAGATGATATCTCATTTTGGGAGTCATTATTTCTTAAACTGATAAATTCTAGTAGGAAGCTCATCATATTTCAGAAATCAGTTTTTTAAAAGAGAGAAAAAAGAAATTGAAAAAAACCCATATTCTAAATAGGACCATCTTGGGATCATTCAAGTTTATATCTCGTTGAAGGTATTTTGACTGAAACATTTGGTGAATAGGAATAGTTTTTTATGTTTTTTTAATCTGCTGTGTATGCTTTATTAACAACACATTAAGAAATCCTTCCTAGGAATCTTTCGAGAATTCTCTAATATAGTCCATATATTTAGCATAGTGTCTGTTAAGGAGGAAACATTCAAATGTTTCCTAATTTTATTGTACTGAGGGATTAACATAGTAAAATAGTATATTAGTAAGTAATATGCCAATTACTTGAAAGTTACTATACCTTCAGTATATGATATTCATGTAATCTCATAAAACTTTGAATTTTTATGCTTGAAATTGTTTCATTTTTGTCATTTACAGCATCACTGTAGACAATGTGGAAATATCTTCTGTGCCGAGTGTTCAGCCAAAAATGCCTTAACTCCTTCTTCCAAGAAGCCTGTTCGCGTCTGTGATGCATGTTTCAATGACTTGCAAGGATAATGGATTATAACAGCATCAGTAATATTACACTAATAATAGATATTTTAATAAATGCACCTAATAGAGTACTCAGACTGCTACTTGATTTGGACAGTGTTTGCAATACCAGACCAAATTAGAATCCATATATTTTGAAATGTTACCAGTATGAAGTAAATCTCTTCTATTTTTGTGAAACTTGGGCTCATCTTTCATTACTTCTTTTCATTTAACCCCCAGAAGAGCTTTCATGCCAAGTTTAGAGTTAGCTGATGAATGTAAATAAACTTTGGACAGAAAATAGCAATGTATTTTTTTAAATATAAGTTCCTTGTTCATAAATAACATGAATATAATTCCATAGCTTACTTCTTTGTCCAAATTTAAGGAAATTATTGTATTTGAATGGTGTTATCACTTCTGTTTGTTGCACAGTAACACATTATTATATAAAATATTCTCTTTATGAAGTCATGCACAGAGCTGTTAACACTTTGTACCTTTTTTAAAAATATATGTATCTATATATATCTCCATAGATCAATTGCACTGTTGTGTTATAAATTTACTACTCAGTATTCTAAGTACAGTTTATGTTAAAGTAAGTGTTAACCATTAATTCAAACATGGTATTTCAACTAACAATATGGATTAAATTCTCTGGGATGAATTTTATGAAAAGCCCTATAAAGTCAGTTTCCTTACTCTGTAGCTATCCTGGGGTTTTATTTTAGGAATAATATTTCTTGTTCTTTATATTTTTTTCTATGTCACTTTTAAATCCTCTCATACTATATTTCCCACTTTAAACCCCAATTGATAGATGAAATAACCTTGTGTAGTGGTCCTAGTGTTTTGTTTGTTTCTTGTAAGTGGAGTGTCTTCTGAGGTTCGCGTTCATAGTATTAACTTCACCTGGTCTCTCCAGCGTCTTCAGGGATCTGTGCTTGCTCTTTTGTTAAGGAAGCCACTTTTCCCCCCTTTAATTTTATTTAACCTTCCCAAGCATAGCTCAGCTTAACTGTATAATTTTATAAGTCTTCATTTTAGAGCTAGTGATTGATGTTGAAAATCTTATCTGCTAATTAAAAACTAGCAAAGAGATGTTATTAAATACTATACTTAATATTTTCTCCTTATCTATTAGGCAAAAGTTATAAAGCTGACTTAAATTTATTCCAAATTTGGGGCTCCATATCAACTATGAAATATTTTAACTTTGTAAAAAATAATGCTGTGAAATTAACTTGAAGTAACATTTAGCAAGGAAAGTATTGCCAAAAATAAATCTATTACAAAATCTCAAAGTTATTGTGAAAACAGACTACTTAATCACTATAAGGAAAATTAAAAATTATCCTACTTGTATTGAATAATGGAACTGAACTCTATTATTGTCTCATTAATTTGGAAAACAACTGAAGAGAGAGTCAACATTAATACTGGCTTCATATTCTTTTTAGAGAAGAAATGTAAAGTCACATTTGTTCAGTTCAATCTTTTGAAAACAGTAATAAGGAAGGACAGAAGTTAATTTTCCACTCTACAATAAAATTGTTTGTAATATGCACTTGCTTTCAAATATCATGCTTAATTAAAATTATCATATTTAAACTATGCCTGTCACATTCATAAACTAAAAGAGATTGCTATATATTCATTTAATTATTTTTTTAAAAGTATGGAAACCTTGCTGTCAGTCATTATTAAGGGTACTATTTGAGTCCCACGATGTGGATAAATGTATAACCTTAAGCATAAATAAAAAATACAATGACTTAGTAATATTATAGCTCAGTACTATAGACTGCTCTGAAATTATTTACAAAGTTTTATGACTTTCAAATCTTTTCACTTAGTTTTAGTTCTATATTTTTACATGTAAGTAACTTAAAAAAATGTGTTGGAGAAACAGAGATATGGTTTTGCTGTTTCTGCTTTTTTTAAAAAACAAAACAAAAATAACCTAATAAAACTTTGTAAGAATCCTTCCGTATTAGAATATTTCTGTTTGCTTCATCTGCTGAAGTTCAATACAATGAAAACCTCCTCCCTCCCGATTACCATCCCCTTTCACCCCCCCATAACCAACATAATTCAGAGAAAATGAAAAAGTATGAGGGACAACAATGAAACCATATACATGAAAATAATTTTCTAGTTTGTGCCTATGTGGTCTCATTTCATAGATCTGGAATAATTTCTCATGGGCTACTATATTGATGCTATTATAAGTGAGATCTAACATCTTTGCAATTAATTGCCATAAACTTAAGGTGTCTTGGAAATAAAAAATAAAATGTTCTATTTTTATTTATTTTCTACAAAAAGTCATCTTCTCTGAGTCTTTCTTGGCCATCTCTTAGCTGTCTCGTGGCATCATTTCTTTTATAAGTAAATTAAAGCTGGCATGCACAGACCCAGCTCTTTGCTCCAATGCAAAGCTTAATGGCATTATGTGTTAGTAAATTCCAAACTCCAGCACTGAAAAAATCAAGACTTGCTGGGATAATTTACAATAAACTGTACTTACACAATTTTTTTAAATAGATGGCAAAGCTGCTGGTATAGGTTTTGTTTATTTTATAAGGAGAAAAGAGGGAAACAAACTCAAACCTCATTGTAGTATATGAATAACATTTTGTTCAACTACCTCTTAATGTGGAATTAGCTAGTTAAATATTTTCCTCAGAATGTTGAATAGTAACTGCCAAATTTGTTTCCATCTCTCTTAAAGAATCTTGGTAATTTCAAGAACTCTAAAGTCTTTTTTTTTAACCTAGCTTTTGCATAAAAATGTTTAGCTTTTCAGTGGAGAGCAAATTATCATATATTTTGATATTCATGACCTGTTTGACTACAGCAGTTGTTTTGGTTTTTTTTTAATGTACTTTGGCTATAAAACCGTGGATTATTTGATCCATACAATTTAAATGTGCCATCAATTTCGTATTCCTAGACATGAACTTGATGAATGGTATTCTGTAATTATAATGTGCCACACATTATTGTGTCTTAATTGCCCTTTGCCTGAATTTTAATGATCAATTTGTTATTGTTGCAGATGTGAATATTGTGCATAAACTTAATAAATTTATGTAAAGTTGTACAAAGTCAAATTGGAAATAGCTAAGTTCTTTCTGTGTAGAAGTATTGAATTTATTGTAACATGATGCCGTTATGTATATGATATTCTGTACTTTTCTTGAACTGGATCACACATTCAAATTTCTGTAGATAACTTTTGCATGAATGTTTTCTCACTTAGGTTTTTAGATTCATTATTTGTATTATGTTTACTACTTGTGATCATGTAGTTGTGCCTTATTTTGTGAGAGAGTTTAGCTCAGTCAATGCTGTAATTCTAAACTCAGTGATTGGAAAGGCTATTGGTTGTAAATATCATTGACAAATTACATGGCTCAGTATTGAAATCTGTACAAAGAACAATGGAAGGATCCTTATGGAAATGTTGCTTTGTTTTTTTAATATGTTAAAGATATGATATTAAAAATTACATTTTCTAGTAGATGTATTTTGTGATTATAAATTCTTTTATCTGTTTAAAAAAAGAACAAGATATTAGCCATTTCACATTCATTTATTTATACAATTTTATTACATGTTTGGCACTTAGATATGGACAGTTTCATATCTGTGCAACTTAGCATACTAATTATTTTAAGTTTATGATATCAAGAGAAACTGTTAATGCCATTTTGCTTGAAATTGCCTTTTATTTTCATTCATTGTTTTATAAAAGTAACACAAATATTTTTTTAAAAAAAATGTATTAGATAATATTGAGGTACCCATTCAAAGATAATCTTCTTAGAGCTCAATGTGTCATTTTTTTCTGCTGCTTTTTTGTTTGTTTTTAAAAATGAAGACTACGTTCCAGTGCTGATATTGGTATGGTGATTTTTTTTTCCATTTCACTATCATATACTTTCCTCTTAACAGTTTTTTTAATGTGTATATCCTCAAACAATTAATTTATAATTTATTAGATATGTTACTCTGTTGCCCTTATGGGATTTTAATATATAAATAGTGTGTTTATGAGCTGTTTTACACATATATTAGTTGAATTAGTCTTCTCTCTTATAAGGGATTTACAAGAGAAAGCTAGTTCTTTATATGTATAAATGCATGGCTGCTGGATTCATGAGACTAAAGAAATCTTGACAGATTACCTAGTCCTTGTCCATTCGCCTCCTCCAAGGTCACTTTATACATAAAGCATCTTTGATACATACTTGCTGATTTCTTTCTGAAAATACCCATTCTTTGTGCTGTAGCCAGTAATTTCTTCCTTATTTTGCTTTTCCATAATCTATAATCTGGACCTGAGTATAATTGCCTTCAATTCAATCTCAATCAGATCCCATCACTAGATAATCACTTGAAATCTATTCTACTACTTTATATCTACCCCTTGTTTATACTTAGCCATTAACCATAATTATTGTTTCCAAATTTCCTTTTCATTTCATATATTCCTAACATGGCCCTCTCATTGTACAAAGACTCATGACTAACCTTTTATTGTAGTAGCTCTTGGCCCTCACACACAAGCCTTTCTGTTAAACTTGTAGTGCCTTGTGTGTGCTGTAAGGTTACATTTTTCTGAGGTAATTGTCCTTCCTGTAACTCCTTCAACTTCATGCTTTCTGTTCCATTCCCCACTTTAAAGAGATAAATTAAGGTATTATTTGTCTTGTAGCTAATTATAATAAATTTACTACTGTCATTTTGTAAATTGCTAGAATTGAAAGTTGTCAACTTCCATTTTATATGACCTGACCCTAAAGTTTATTTAAATACTGTATGTAGATCCCTCTCTGGTAATATTATTATTTAGACTACCTTCATAAAAGTTGTAATGTTTCAAATCCTCCACGTAATATTAACAAAAGACAAAGTACCAAACACATTCAAAACCAGAAATTCAAAACTAATGGTAAATATCCAGAAATGCCATTGAGAGGAAGACACCCTCCTTGAAAACTTGCCATGTGGAAATGCTAGCAGGAAATGGAAGCAAATAGGGTGTTTCTTTTCTTAAATAAAGTAGTGGAATTTAGTGCTTAGCATTTTCTACTTTCAAATAAGAGTATTTATAAAAGCAGATGTGAGATAAGTGATCTACTGGATAACAGACAAAACAAAAACGATGATTAGAATATGGCCAAAACCCAGCCCACTGCCAAGTCAAGTCAGTCCCAATGCATTGTGCCCTCCACTGGGTTTCTAAGGCTGCCCATCTTTGTGGACTGTAGGCAGTTGGTACTTGGCACTATCAGTCAGAATTACCTCGATGTCAGTAGGTCTTTGGTATAATGCTTTAACACAGCTTTCAGTGGAGCTTCCAGGCTCAGATGATCCGGAAAGAAAGGCTTACTGATCTGCAAATCAGTCAGTTAGGACTCCATGGATCTCAGTGGTCCTTTCCTTGACCAACAGCAAGAATATTAAAAGTGCAGTCACACTGTGTATCAAAGGAAATACTTTGAGGTATGATTTTAAAGTAGTAAGTCTGAGGAACAAGCCATCATGGGACTAGGTATATCAGACAGTGAGATTGGCTTAGGATAGGGCAGGGTTCAGAGCTATTATACATAGGGTCACTAAGAGTTACAGCTGACTCAACAGCCCTAACAACAACTATATGGTAAAGATTGGTTTCATTATTTTTCAGAAACACACAAAGGAAAATGCTAGTATTCATATAGGAGGCAAGCAAGGGACATGGTCTTCTTCCTGATAAAGCTTTTTTACAAATTATAAAGTCAGGGTTATGTGCCATTGAGTCACCTGTGTCTCATAGCAACCCTATGTACAACAGCCCTGAAGCCCACCCTATTCTAAGCCAGTTTCACTGACTCTGACAAATCTACCTCCATTGCCCTAATTACTGTGTTAATCCGTCTCATCCAGGGTCTTCATATCCTGCAGTGTCCTGCCACCCTTCCAAGCATGATGCCCTTCTCCAGGGACCGTTTCCTCCTGGACACATGCACAAAGTATGTAAAACAGAACTTCAAAATCCTAGTCTCTAAGACACCCACTCCAGTACAGACTTAATAGTTTTCTTGGTGGGCCATGGTATGTTTAGGACTCTTCTCCAGCAGAATTCAAAGGCATCAGTCCTTCTTCTGTCATCCTTAGTCATTGTCCAGCTCTCTGATGCATAGCAAGTAATTGCAAAAACCATGGCCTGGATCAGGCGCACCTTAGTCTCTAGACGAAATTGTTTCTTCTCTGTACTCTGGAGAGTTCCCTGGCAACAGATTTTCCCAGTGCACTTTGTCTTGATTTTCTGACTGCATGTCCCAAGAGTGTTGATTGTGGAGCCAAGCAAACTGAGATTTTTAACAAATCCAATCTCCACCATCTATTATGGTGCTGCAGATTAGCCCATTGGTGAGACTCTGTCTTTTTTATGTTGAGCTTCAATTCATATTGAAGACTGCAGTCATTGACCTTCTGCAGCAAGCGCTTCAGGTTCTCCTCAGTTTCAACAAGCAAAGTTGTGCCATCTGCATAACATAGGTTGTTGATGAGTTTTCTTCCAATCCTGATGTCATATTCCTCCTTGTAAAGCCCAGCCTTCAAATGATCTACATACAAATTGAAAAGGTATGGAAACAGGAGGCATCCTTGACACACTTCTTACTCTTGCTCTGTTCTGAGGACTACTTCCTGGTTCGAGTATAGGTTTTGCATAAGCACAATGAAATGTTCTGAGATTCCTATTCTCTTCAAGGTTAGCCACAAATTTTTGTGATCCACACAGTCAAATGCTTTTGCATAGTCGATGAAACACAGAAAGACACTCCTCTGGTACTCTCTGTTTTCTGCTAAGATCCATCTGACATTGGCAATAATGTCTCTAATGCTACGCATTCTTCTAAACCTAGCTTGTACTTCTGGAAGTTCTCTTTTGATGTACTGTTCCAATCATTTTTGGATAATCTTCAGCAGGGTTTTGCTTCTGTGTCGTGTTAGTGATATTATTCAATAATTTCCATCCTGTATTGGTTCACCTTTTTTTGGAATGGGAATAAATATGGGACTCTTCCAGTGAATTGCCCAGGTAGTTGTCATCCAGATTTCTTGGCACAAACTGGTGACCATGTCCTGGGCAGCATCTTTTTGTTGAAGTATGTTAATTGGTATACCATCAATTCCTGGAGCTTTGTGTTTTGCCAATTCCTTCAGAGCAGTCTGAACTTCCTCCTTCATCATCATTACCTCTTGATCATATGTTGTTTCTTAGAATTCTGTTGTGTTAACTAATTATTTTTGATACAGTAACTGTATGCTCCTTCCATCTTTTTTCAATGCTTCCTGGATCATTCAGTATTCTGCCCATAGCATCCCTAATTATTGCAACTCGAGGCATGACTTTGTTCTTTAGTTCCTAATGTTGTTGTTATCTGCTGTCGAGTTACCTGCAACTCAGTGATCCTATGTACACTAGCCCTAAACCTTGCTCTATCCTGTGTCAATATTATTGTCTCTGTCACACTTTACCCCATTATCCCAGTCACTGAATCAATCCATCTCATCGAAGATCTTCCTTTCCTGCGCTATCCCTATACCCTCCCAAGCATGATGTCCCTCTCCCAAGCATGATCCCTCCTTGCATCATGTCCAAAGTATGTTAGATGAAGCTTCAGAATCCTTGCCTCTAAGGAGCAGCCTGGTTTAACGCTAAGTCACATTATATGGTAGTTTGGAGGTTAGTATATGCTTCTTAAGAAATTCCTGAGTTCAAATTTGCTGTGGTCATTACTCCTTTATATTGAGGATTTTCTTAAGTCAAATTTTCATTCTGGAACTCCTTTAGAAGGGACACCACTCGGTGTTACAAAAGGTATGTGACCTTTTGTTTTAAGTTGCTAAATTTGTTTTCGATTCCTAAATTTCAGGAGATTCTGCAGGCAATGTGAATAGAGATATTTTCTTGCTTTCCTGAGTCTTCATAAAGTAAGAGATTGCTGTTGTCAATTGTATCATCCACGTTTTCTTGGGAAGAAAAAGAGAGATGATTAAAATAAGTGGAAAATTTCTAACACATTTGTATTAACATTTTCCATTATATTTACTGGCTTGTTGTTTACACCTGAAGACTAATGAGATATTTGGACACATTTCCTGTTCTCTTTCTTAGATCAAACACAATGAATTAGTTATGTGAAAATGCAAATAGATTTAATGAATATGGTATGTACATTGGATAAACAGTGTAAGTAATCAAGGAACCATAATGGTCGATGATGAGGAATTTAAAAAAATGGATGCGGTAGATAAACTGAATTTCTCAGATTCCCAATTTGTGTGGAAATAGAAATTTTTGACCAGTGGCATAATTTGAAGAAAAACAAACTTTGAGGAAGCTGACCAAAGAAATGAAGCCCTTATATTGCAACAGTCTGTGGTGTGTCCCTGCTTTGAGAAAGCCAAACAAAGAGCAAAGATAAAAATGCAAACTTCAAAGTTGGGAGAAAAACTGTCAGGAAGGCAGCTGCTCTTTTAACTCTATAGCTGTGAAAAACCCCCAAATAGATTTTCAAAGGCTAAAGACATGGTCATTATTGCAGCCACCCCTCAGTTAAACTGATGCACATTGTTTTCATACTGACAACTGAAAATTTTGGTGCATCTTGAAAGTTAGCCATGTCCATCCAGAGCAGGTCTTCCCTCCTCTCCCATGGAAGCTGCTTAGCTTAGAAGAACCTCAGGCTTTTTCAGCAGGCGATAATGAGGTGGCTTCCTTAACACTTCCAGTGAGTCTCTTGTCGGCTCTGAGGTATCTGAACTTATGTTAACATGGGCTGGGTGTCCTCTCTCCCCCTCTAACCCCCTCCCCTCCACTTGCTTACACTCTGAAAACCCAAAAGACCTCCACAATTCAGATACATACTTTGATGTTTTCTGCTTGGGCTTGTAATAAGAATGCTGCTATACACTGTCGGTATCTGTTTTCATGTTGTATGAGAAAAGCGTTTCTCAGTCCAAAAGCTAGGGAAGAGATAGTAAGAAGACAGCCAGGTCATTTCATATGAAATTCAAACAGTTCCTTGTTTTCTTTTGCAGAACTTGTATTTTAGTTTGTCTTTTAATGAGGGTACAGGGTGAAAATAAAGAGTTTGCCCCTCCAAAAAATTTTCTTAATTGCTCATCCAAGGCTCCCCTACATTCAAATAAAGCCACTTATAAATGAAAACTGGCTTTCTTAGCCAGTGATTTCTGGGGCTTAATGAAATGCAGTTACAGCTTAAGTGACAGAAAATTCATAGAGCAATCTAAGAATGTTAAGTGGTCATCTTTGTGGGGGAAAAAAAGAAATCACAAAATATAGGAAACAAGGCAATTGTTCCTTATTTTGTCACCAACCACCCTTTTCAAAATGCTTTCTTTTTTAATTTAAAGGAGAACTTAAATGATTTCTTGTTTAAGTTACAGTAAAATGATTTACAAATTAAGCTATGGCAAAAAAAGCAAGCCCACTTGGAAGTTTCTCAACAAGCCAAGAAAGACCAAAAAATACACTCAAATAAATTCAGCAGTGTCCAAATTAAGGGACACATGAAGCAAAAACCATGTCTTCTGTTTCTACCTGTTTCTTAGCTGGTCTCTTAAAAAAATGACAAGAAGGTATTGAAGAGAAGATTTTCTTTTTTTAAAAAAAGCTCTGAAAATAAAAATTTCTTCCTTGAATTATTAATACAACACGGAGAACATAACTCTGGAGCCTATGCATTCTTTCTGCAGTTGATTTCTGTTCAGAAATAAAGTAGGGTTGCCTCTTGGTCACATGACTTCTGTAGAGAATAAGGATTAAGAGCTGCTTCTGTCCTAGGCTGGCCATCAAATTGACACTTCCTTGCCCATTCTCATTTTTATGTGTCTAAGTCTGAAGTAGCCTTAAGGCAAGTTAGGACTTGTTTCACAGTTGACATGAACGCAAGACTTTTTCTTAACAATAGTTAAATTTTCACAGATGATAATCGTATATTCTTAACATTCTAAACCACACAATTCTTATTTCTGCAGCAATGAAATTTGCTTAAATTAGTAAGATTTTCTGTAGCTTCTCTGGGGTTAGGAAACTTGAGTTTACTAAAATAGCTTTTTGGGAGGAAAAAAAAAAATTTCTGTTAGTTTCCCGCTGGATCTTCTCATTGTAAATTCCCAGTAGCAAATGAGGCTTTAAAAATGAGGTTGTTGGCTTTGACTGGTTTTGAAAATCTATTTCAACTATTGTTGTTTGGTACCATCAAGTCAAAAGTAACTAACAGCCGACCCTTCAGCAGGTGTTCAGGCAGTAAATTAATTGCTCAGGTGGAAATTGCCCCTATTTCTCCTGCTGAGTAACAGGTGAATTCAGACTGTGACTTTGGGTTGGCAGCGCACTCCCTTTACCACCTATAGTTCAACTGTTTTTATTGTTGTGTACCATTGAGTTGGAGCCGACCCATAGCTGACCGTCCAGTGGATTTTCAGAGACGGTTAATTGCAAGGGAGAAAATTGCCCATCATTTTCTTGTGGAACAGCTGGTGGATTCGAATTGTGTACTTTTGCAATGACAGTACAGTTCCTTGCTACTAAGCCAAAGAGTACCTCATCTGTTTCATTTGTGATACAGGTACACAGGACATTAGCAAAAGGAACTGCTATGGGCTTGTGTAATGACAGCCCATTACTGAGTCTGGAAACCACCAGACACTCTGCAGGGAAAAATGAAGAGGCAGTCAAGTAATTAACAATATAAAACAGAAGATATATAAATGCATAAAATACAATGTACATGAATGGGAAAAAGAGGCACTGATCAAAAATAATATATAAAGTACAAACTATTAAAATGAATACATCAAACACTGTGCATGAATGAAGCACAATGTACACTGAATGATTGTAGGAAAAACCAATTAAAAATACAATTTAAAAATATTTACAGCTTCAGAAATGTGATAGGGCAGGGAGGGGTATTACCATGAGTCAGAATTGACCTCACAGTACTGGGTTTGGTGTTGGAACTTTGCACGTAGTTTGTAATACGTCAGGCTGTTAACCATAAAGTCAGCAGTTTGGGTCCACTATTTGCTGCAGGGGAGAAAGACGAACAGTCACCTCCTGGAAAGATTGGCAGCCTCAGAAACCTGATGGCGGGTCATTCTGAATTGGAATCCAAGTTGTTAGGTGCAGCCTCAGAAACCTGATGGTGGGCCACTCTGAATTGAAATCCAAGTTGTTAGGTGCAGTCAGGCAAAGGGGACCCTTCATTGGGTATTTAGAGGCTCTAAAGTACATAGGAGATTACCCATATTTCCCCATGGTTCAGCTAGTGGATTCAAACCTCCTGGGGTTGGGGTCGCAGCACAGCTCCTTACCACTAGGCCAGCAGAGCTCTCCAGTTTACTCCATGTGTTGTTATGCGCCATCAAATCGAGTACAGCTTATAGCAAACGTGAACATACCTGAACACTGTTCGATGCTGTGCCGTCTTTACCATCTCTGATGTACTTAATCCTATTCCTGCAGCCACTAAGTCAGTCCATCTCAGTGGGGATCTTCCCCTCCATTGCTGTATTAGTCCTCTTTTTCCAAGTATGCGTCCTTTCCCAAGGAATGGCCTTTTCTAACATGACCAAAGTATACGAGATGAAGCTTCACTATCCTTTTCTCTAAGGAGCAATCTGGCTTCATACTCTCCGAGACATAGCTGTTTGTTCTTTTGGTTCTCTATGGGACACTCAGCACTCCTCTGAGAACACCACAACTCAAAGGCATCATTGTCCAGCACTCAAAAGCAAAGCAGGTAATTGAAAAGACAAGGACTTAAAGCAGATAGACCTTAGTCTTTACGGTGATGCATTTGCTATTCAATACTTTGGAGAGAACCCTGACAGCATATTTTCCCAGTGCAATACACTTTTTTGTTGTTTGGTTATTTCTTGACTACTGGTACTAATGACTGTGGATCCAAGCAAGATGAAATCATTGACAACTTCAATCTTTGTTCCATCTATCATTATGTTGGCCCTGTGGCAAGGACATAGAGCTATAATCTATATTGCAGGCTGTAGTCTTTGATCTTCTGCAAAAAGTGTTTCAAGTCCTCACTTTCAACAAGCAGGATTATGTCATCTGCATAACAGAGGTTGAAGAGTCGTCTTCTGATCCTAGTACTAGGTCCTTCTTCATAAACCTCACATTTCCATATAATTTGCTCAGCATACAAATTGAACAGGAATGGAAAAAGGATACAGCCTTTCTATTTATTTATTTACCCCTTTTTTGTTGTTAAACCATGCAGTGTTCCCTTGTTCTGTTTGAATAATATTTTCCTGGTCTAGGTATAGGTATATACTGAGTTTTCTGAAATTCCCATTTTTCTCAATGTTAGACATACTGTATGATCCACAAAGTCAAATGCTTTTGCACAGTTAATATAACACACATGGCCATTCTTATGATAGTTATTGTTGTATACCATAAAGTTGAACCAATCTATAGTTTACCCTCCAGTGGGTTTTCAGAAATGGTAAATCACACGGGAGGAGATTGCCAGTCTTTCTCCCACAGAGCAACTGGTGGATTTGAACAGCATGCCTTTGGGATTGCAGGGCAGTTTCTTACCTGTAGGCCACCAGAGCTCCCTATTCTTCTGGTAGTGGGTTATTTTAGTCACTGAAGCTCTGGGCTTGGCAATAGGCCTGAGGATTGAGGAAGACTGCTCAGTGCCTCTTCTTAGCCTGTGCCTTTTGTGGATTGGACAGGAAATGAGATCCCGACTGCCTGGCCCCCTTGGTCTCTGTCCAAGGCATCATGGTCACCTACTTCCTCTTTGACACAGCTGCCACCCATGCACTATTCAAAAGAGCCGTCCTCTCAGGATTTACTGTCTTGTCTTGTTTTGCAAAGAGCTCCCTAAGGGCAAAGGCTGTTTCTGATTCATCTTCTTAGCTCCAGGGCCTGGCTCTCAGAAGTCACTCAGGAAATACTCTAAATAAATGAATAAAAATGATACCTATTTCTAATGTGTGTGTATCCATAAAATGTATGTTGTTGTTATGCACCATTGAGTCGGATCTATAGCTGTCCCAGTAGTGGGTTTTCAGAGGCAGCTCATTTTAAGGAAGGAAATTGCCCGTCCTCCTGAGTAGCAGCTGGGGGATGCAAACTACATGCCTCTGGGATTACAGCATTGTTTCTTACCACTCTTGTTATTGTTTTGTGCTGTAGAGTCACCTGTGACGCACAGTGACCTTATGTACAGCAGCTCTGAATCCTGCCCTGTCTTGATTCAGTCTCACAGATTCCAACACACCAACCCCCAGTGCCGCAGTCACTTTATCAATCCGTTCCATCGAGGGTCTTCCTCTCCTGTGCTGTCCCTCCACCTTTCCAAGCATGATGTCCTTCTCCAAGGACCAGTCCCTCCTGGCCATGTAGCCAAAGTATGTGCAACAGAGCTTCAAAATCCTAGCCTCCAAGGAGAAACTTGGATTTACCCTCTCTAAGACAGACCTATTTGTTTTCATGGCAGTCCATGGTATGTTCAAGACCCTTCTACAGTACCACAAATCGGAGGCATCGTTTCCTCTTCTGTCATCGTTAGTCATTGTCCAGCTCTCTTCAATATGCATAGCAAGTAATTGTGAAGACTATGGCCTGGATCAGGCACACCTTAGTCTCTAAACTGACATCGTTACTTTTCAGGACTCTTCCAAAGTCTATCCATTCTTTTGGCAGACACGATATTCAGTGCTATTCTCCAACACCACAACTTAAAGGCATAATTTCTTCTTGTCATACTTTATCATTGTCCAGATTTCAGAGGCATAGCAAGTGATTAAAAATACCATGGCCAGAATCAAGTACACCTTAGTCTTCACGTTGACACCATTGCTCCTCAGTAACTTGAAGAGGTCCCTGACAGTACACTTGCCCAGAGAAATACATCTCCTGACGGCTGGTACCAACAGTGCTAGTTGTGTATCCAAGTAAGATGAAACTTGACAATTTCAATCTTTTCTCCACCTATTATGATGTTGCTTAGCAGTAAGGGTTTTCATCTTTTTGATGTTGAGATGCAATCCATATTACTGACTGTAGCCTTTGGTCTTCTGGAGCAAGTACTTTTATGTCCTCCTCCCTTTCAGCAAGCAAGGTTGTGTCATCTGCATAACACAGGTTGCTGATAAGTCTGTCTCCAATACTGATATCACATTCTTCTTCATAGAGTCAAGGTTCTTGAATGATTTACTCACCATTTAGATTTAATAGGTATGAAAAAAAGATACAGCCATATCATATACTTTTAATGATTTTAAACCATGCAGTGTTCCCTTGCTTTGTTCAAACAACAGCTTCTTGGTTAGATAGAGGTTTCATGTGAGCATAATTAAGTGTTCCGGGATTCCGATTCTTCTCAATGCTGGTCATAGTTTGTTATTACCCACACAGTCAAAAGTCTTTTCATTGTAAATAATGCACAAATAGACATTCTTCTGTTATTCTTTGCTTTCAGCCAGGATCCACCTGGCATCTATCTGCAATGATATTCCTGGTGTTCTGCCCTCTTCTAACCTACTTGAACTTCTGGCAGTTCTTTATTAAATACTGTACTAGAACAGTATACTAATATACTCCAACAGTATTTTGCTTGCATGTGATATTAATGATACTGTTTGACAATTTCCACATTCAGCTGGATCACCTTTCTTGGGAATGGGAACAAATATGGCTCTCTTCCAGTCATCTAGCCAAGTGTGTTATCCAAATTTCCTGGCACAGACTCGTGTCACTGACATAGGTGCCCTAAATTGTGTTTTATGAAAACTTAAAACTGGAGCCATGTGCTGTTATTCAAAAGACCAAAATAAACCCACTGATGGTAAACAATGAAACAAATAATCACAATAAACACCTACCTGACAAGTGGAGTGGGTCAATATTTTTAACCACCAATCTGTCCAGTGGGATGGGTTGATCAAGTACTGTACAGGAACCACCCTCTTTTATTACTGATTGCAGCTCGGGAGTAAGTGAAGGACACATCAAACCTGTGTCTGAGCCTCCCAGTTTCTGAAATTAAAAAGGAAAGAATACCTAAATAGTAAACAGAATAGATAATAAATAGGCAATAAACATGGGACACATATCTAAGTGCATATGTAAGCACATTTTAGAAACAGTCATGAAAATCCAGGGTTCAGATCTATTGCTCATCGGGTGGCAATGAGTTGACTCGATGGCTCTTGACAACACAGTATTCTTTCTTGATCCTAAAATGTGTTTTCCTCTGCCTTTTAAAGCACAGTGTTCCATGTATAATTACATTAATAAAGAGTTGCTGACGTTCCTAATTAGGAAACAATTCATTGCCGCATCCATGGAAAGAGCTCCCTTTACAGTGTCTTAATCTCTAGATAGTATTGACTTACATGATTGAGAAAGGGAATTCTTCTTTAGGTCACCTCTGTGCATGGACTCAAACCTTGAGACCTAAATAGATACAATGCTCTAGAATTTATATAGCCCTGAAATTATTTCACATGTCTAAGTTGCAGATATGTTTAGAAAGGCTCTCTGTGATTTGTGTGATTAAAGAGGAAGACAAGACTGATATCTCTATCTCTCTCCCTCCCTCTCTAAGGAGTTGGAACCAACTCATAGCTGATCCTCCAATGAGTTTTCAGATGCTGTAACTGCATGAGAGGAGAGAGTAACCGTCTTTGTCCTGTAGAGCAACTAGTGGATTTGAGTCACCCACCTTTGTGTTGGCAGCGTGACTTCCTATTCAGGAAACCACTAGAGCTCCCTTGCAAAGATGACGTTGCTGTTAGGTGACATCAAGCTGAGTATAACCCATAGTGACCCTATGAACAGCAGTGATAAACCCTGTCCTATCCTGTGCCAAAGCTGGTAGCATATCTTATTCTAGAGTCAAGTTGTGATGCCTGAAACCCAAACTTTACCTTATAGTACGGTTTGTATGGACTACCATTAATTCTTGCTCTCTGTGTCATTATAAAAAGTGAAAGTTTGCTGTGCTAAGGTCAAGGATTTTTAATGGAGCAGAGAATTCTCTTAGAGTTAGATGTATTCCAACATTCTATTAGGGATAGTTTAAAGAGGAGGTCATACAAATTTTGAAAATGTTGACTACATTTTTTCCCACTTTGACCATCATAGGTCAACTCTTCATAGTTTAATCAGTGGATGTCTACTTTATTACTTAAAAGATCTTTGAATGATTTCATTCAAATAACTACCTGCCATTTAGAAGCCTGGCTTATTAAAAAGCAATAGTCTAGTCTCCTGTTCTTAACATCTATATAAAGTTAGCCATTTGTTAGCAAAGGGAGAGGAATAGAATAGCATTCAATATCTCTGATGGCTTGTGACATCGTCTTTTTTTTTAAAAAAAGAGACCCAAAATATTAAGATTTTATTTACAAAGCTTATTTGTTATATAGAAAGTAAAACTGCTGTTACAATCTCAGAGTAACTGGTAGCCACAAATGGTTGAGACTCACTGATCACAGCTACCCATGCAAGAGTCTTACACAAAAACCTAACAACACTTACAGTTTTGTTGGGGCAAAGGCCCCACTCTTGGTGATGGAGTTCCTAGAGGAATTAAACAAGAAGGTGGAGTGTCACAGGAACTATTCTTTGGCCCTTTGGGTGGGGGGTGTCCTGGGGTTTGTATCACAGCTACTTTTTAATTTTTTTTTCTTTTTTCAAAGGCTGTTTAAGTCTATATAATGGCTTGTCTCACTGAGGAGAGAAAACCGGAATAGGTTAGGCTTCTTTGCTATAGCAAGCACCAATTGTGACAGACTGTTGTGCTCATATGTACTTTTTATTTTTTTTTAAACAGCTACTAAGTCCATATAAGCCATCCAACCAACACTGAAGAGTTCTTTTTTGTGAGTTATCTGGGGTCTTAATCATCTTCTCCTTCATCATCTGTTTCTCTCTTCCTCTTCTCACCTTCCCCACTGTTTTCCTCATCTTCATCTTCATCCTCATCCTCATCTTCTTCCTCAACCTCTCCATCATGGCCAAATTCTTCCTCTCCGCTGACGTCATCTTCTTCTCCATCTCCATCTTCATCTTCATCTTCTTCTTCATAAAATCGTCCTCCTCATCCTCCTCTCCATCGTCCACACCATCCACCTCAGCATCTGAGTCAGGGCTTCCTGGTCCTCTTGGTGGTAGCCATCCATCCAGGCAGGTCCCCTGGAGCAGCAGCTTGATGATGCTCTCTGGGTAACCATTCAAGTTGGTAACCTCACAGTTAAACAGATGCAGGCTTTTCAGATTGTCCACTTTTTTCAAGGGTTCGCTGATATCCTTCAGTTTATTTCCACTCAAGTTTAGGTGCCTGAGGTTTGGAAGGTTTTCTGCTAACATGTCCAGACCTCCCAAGGTTCTATTTTCACTGAGCTCAAGTTTTTTAAATTTTGGTAATTTGGGGAGATTTGAAAATGAAATCCAGCCTACATGTATGAAACTGAGGAACTCTAAGTTCACGAATTCAGCTGTTAAACCCTCTGTTTTCCCATCATTTGACTTGCTGACAGCTGTCTGGATCTGGTTTCTCAGCTGCAGATGGATCCCTTCTCTCCATGGTGCCCCTCTTCCCCCCTCTTTAAATGTCACTTTCTGCAGCAGGGGTGGAGAGGGTGAGGGGTCGGGCGGTGCACAGCGAAGGCCGTGGAAGCCTGGTCCTGAGGCCTGCAGCGCAGTTCTGGGCATCAGGTGAGCAAGTGGAGCCCTTGGAGCCAGTTACTCCCGAGCAGAGAGAAACCATGGAGGGAAAAGCGGGCCCAGAGCGCAGCACTGGTCTCACTACCGTTGCTGCGGCCCATGCTGCGTTTGACTCTGCTTGACTCAGGGACGCAGGGCCAGTGGATGCTCATCCTGTGACCTCTTCTTGTGGCTACTACTTCTCGGGGCTTAAGTCTAAGCCCCAAAGAGAATCCCTTTCTCCCAACACCATTCTGCACATTATTCCAGAAACCAATTATGAAGCAGGAGGTTAGATAGGAACCATGATCAACCATGACCAGTGACTTTATGGGTTGTTGTTGTTGTTGTTGTTGTTGTTGTTATGTGCTGTGGAGTCGCTTGCAACTCATAGCGACCCTATGTACAACAGCCCTAAACTTTGTTCTGTCCTTTGCCAATCTCATTTTCTCCGACACACTCATCCCGATTATCCCAGTCACCAAATCAATCCACCTCATAGAGGGCCTTCCCCTACTGCACCTGCCCTCCACCCTCCCAAGCATGATGTCCTTCTCCAAGGACCAGTCTCTCCTTACAACATGACCAAAGTATGTCAGACGAAGCCCCGGAATCCTTTCCTCCAAAAAGCAGCCCGGTTTAATCCTCTCCAAGATGAATCTGTTTGTTTTCTTAGCAGTCCATGGTACCCTCAACATTCTTCTCCAACACCAAAGCTCAAAGGCATCAATTTTCATTCTATCCTCCCTAGTTATTGTCCAACTCTCTGGCACATAACATGTGATTGTAAAGACCATGGCCTATAACAGATGCACCTTAGTCTCCAGAGAGACATCATTGCTCTTTAGTACTTTAGAGAGGTCCCTAACAGCAGACTTTCCCATTGCAATACGTATTTTAATTTCCTGGCTGCTGGTGCCAAATGTGTTGACTGTGGAGCCAAGTGGACTAAAGCTTTGAACAATCTCAATCTCTTCACCATCCATTGTGATGCTGCCAATTGGTCCAGTGGTGTGAATCTTGGTGAGAATCTTCTTGATATTGAGCCTCAATCCATATTGAAGGTTGCAGTCCTTGACCCTCAGTAGCAAGCACTTCAGGTTCTCCTCAGTTTCAGCAAGCAGGGTTGTGTCATCTGCATAACGCAGATTATTGATAGATCTTCCACCAATCCTGCTGCCGCATTTCTCCTCATAGAGCCCAGACTCCTGGATGATCTGTTCTGCATACAGGTTGAAAAAGAATGCAGCTTGAACTTCTTCCTTCATCACCATAGGCTCTTGCTCATATGTTGTTTCATTAAAGTCTTCTGTATCTGCCAATTCCTTTTGATACAATGACTCAGTATATTCCTTCCATCTTCTTTTAATACTTCCTGGATCATTTAATATTCTGCCTAAAGCAGCCTTGATTATAGCAACTCGAGGTTTGAATTTGTTCTTCAGTTCCTTGAGCTTAAGAAATGCTGAGTGAGTTTGGCCCTTTTGATTTTCTGACTCCAGCTCCTTGCACATTTCATTGTAATATTTTACTTTGTCATCCTGCACTGTCTTTTGAAATCTTCTGTTCAGCTATTTAGTATCTTGAATAGTAACTTCTATAGTTAATAGTTAAAAATAATGATAAAATGATAACCAATCATAATTAATTAGCATCAAGATTCTTCCCTCCTGAGATATTGTGGCTCTGAGGCAGTGCTAGGGAGGCAGTGCTGGTTCAGTAGCAGCTTGCTTTCTGTGCAGAAGACTCAAGTTTTATACTTGGCCAGTGCATCTCATTCGTGTATGGTCACTACCTGCCCACCCATCAATGGACGACTGAGGGATGCTATGAGAGTGAATGGGTTTCATAGGAGTTTTACTAAAACAGACTAGGAAGAAAGGCTTGGTGATGGCATTCTACAAATCAGCCTATGAAAATCTATGGAGCATGGTAGTCAGATGCACAAATGGTGGAGCTGCCTTAGGCCCAGGTAGCGTTTTGTCTCATTTTGTTACTAGGAGCTGCAATGAGCTGGGGGTCAACCTGACAGCCCCCAAAGTCCTCTGCTGACTCACTTTGTGATGCCAACTACACACTGTTTGATGTCCACAGATCGTGCGTAGCTGGAGTGCTAAGGATCACAGCTCTGTTCCCGTTCCTCATTCTAGATCATCATTTCTCAGCAGGGGTAGAGGCCTTCAAATCAGCACCAGTGGCGGATACCACCTCTTGGCACATGGCAGTCAGCTGTAGACAGTTTAGAGGTGCCTTTTAGCTTTGGTCATGGTGACCAGTTAAAAAGAGTTTAGAAAAGCCAAATATTTTGAGTTCCTTTGCTCCGACCAATCAGGCATAAAGTCTTGTGCTTACTGGAACTGAGAGTGAAGACCTTCAATCTAAAATGCAGTCTTTATTATACTCCCTGAAGGAATATAATGTCTCTTATTATTTCGCTTGCTGTTGTTAATAGCTATGTAATTTTAAAAGTTTGTAGTGCCCCAGATTTTAGAGACCAATGTGATGTATTAGAATATTTTATATACAACTTATTAATTTAGAAAGAACAGAATTTTACCTTTTTGTTGCGCTTAATTTTTGTAACTAAGAGAAAATCGTCAAATAGAAACAGGTAAACATCCAGAAATCTTGCATTTTCTGAGAAAAGAAAGAAAAGGTAAAATGAGCACTGAGACTAAGAGAGGTTATTCCTTGGTGAGAGACATCATGCTTAGGAAGCTGGGCTGACACCGAGACTGCAGCAATGAGCTTGAGTGTTTCAGAGGTTATGAGAATGGCACAGGATAGGACAGAGTTGAGGTTGGTCGGTCACTCTAAGTTGTACTCAACAGCATCTAACAATGACAACAACAGAAGAGTGAGCAGCTTTTATTCCAGTGGTTCCCTTTGAAAAAAGTAGAGTATTACAGTCCAGGCTCGAGGACCCCTAGCCTCTGGGTCAGATAACTTGGCCAATATTAAATTGATTTCCTCCTAAAATGAGGGCCTGATTTGAAACTATGCTTCCAATCTAAAGTATACTGTATTTTTGTTTCATTTTGTGTGTGCCTAAAATAACTCAGAAAGCATTAGCAATGGCCTCAACTAGGCCAAGGAGAAACTAATCAAGCAATTGACTCACATTAATTTTTGCCTCTGGGTGAACCTTGATAGTCTTTGGCAAAGGTACACATGACAAGAGAAAAGACGCTTTGTGATTCAAACTACAAATGAGATCTTTTCTAAACTGTGTCTTAAATCTGTAGGTAACTTGGAACAGGTGGATAGAGTTATTACTTATCTTACTACAATAAAGGGCTCTGAAGACTTTTCAGTGCTTTAAATGCTCCAGGTGCAGCAAGTGATCAAGAATTGACTGAGATTTGGAGTTGGTTCAGTTACCTCTGAGTGAGGGAGAATTTACCAGGCATTGAAAGGCAAGTAGGAGTTATCCATATGTGCGTTTATAACCCCCCAGGGACTTAATGCATTTACTTCCCTAGTTTTATAATGTATGTATATGTACTGAAATATTTTCCTGTGGTTTTATAAAGACAGCCCTTTCTGAAATTGCTCTTGATAGTGACTTAAGGGAAAAAGGCTTTTCTACTTTTCTCTGAAATTATTTCAGAATTTAAGCCACATTGAATATCAGACTAAGTAAGCTATTATCTTCCTTCCTATTTTACTCCAAACTTTGGAAATTAGAAAAAGAAATATAATGGATAAATTTAATTGATTTCAAAGGAAAAGGGAGTTCAGGTAGTATAGGAAAGCCTGAGAAATGTACTTATTTACTTATGCTTTAACTCATTCATGTCCTTGGAAAAAAACATACTGGGAGAGGTAGAGGATCACCGGAAAAAAGAAAGCTCCTCCACAAGGCAGACTTATACAGCAGCGTTGCAATGAGCTCAAGCATGTTGGAGATCATGGATGGTGCGGAATAGGGCAAGGTCGATCTGTTATTCAGAGAGTCGATATGAGACGTAGTTGACTCGATGACACCTAACAACAACCCAGTTCTTTACCATGTACTGTTACCCCGACAACTAGGTGACTAAAGGTAAGTGAATGGATGAAATAATAAGATGATTTCCCCCATGCTCTGTTCCTTTAAATTTACAGGAAATGACCTCTGCTAGTTATCACCCTGTTGAACTTTGATCAAAGTATAGACCCACCCCAAGCCTTGATTCCTCCCTCACCTGTAGCATGCATGGCATTAAATAGATCCTTACTGCAAAATTCACTGGAAGGAGACAATATTTGAATGAGTACCTTGACCTGAAATTCTGGGCTTCTCTATCCCCAGTTGCAACTGATTACGTCCCAGTATTGACATCTAGTACCATACTAAGGCTTGTGGTTTGAATGTACCAGTTGCTTCATGGAAGAAAGGTGGGTAATTTTCTGTCCTATGTACTGCCTCTGAAAACTCACAGGAAGGTCAGTTCTGAGTTGGTTCAGACTCAATGGTACCTCTCAAACAACAGTACTAAAATACAGATGGCATTTGGTGGTACAAAGGATTAAGGTGAATGATTGTTAACCAAAAGCTGGAGGTTTTAATCCATCTAGAAGCACTTTATTACAAAGATCTGGCCTTTTTCTTCCCCCAAAAAATCAGCCATTAAAAACTGTATTGAGCACAGTTCTATTTGAGTGGAAATAGACCAATGGCAATTGATTTGACCTAACGTGTAGTAGATTCTCAGGAAATATTAATTATTCCCCAGCGACTTCTCACCAAATTTCACTCTATGACAAATAGTTCACCTCACATTCAACAGAGCTTCATACGCAATAGAGACTCAAGATTTTGTGTACAAATAAGTGCATGAGTGCAAATCTTATTTTAGTTAAACCGACCTCTCTGCTATCATAGTGTTTGTGGAACTCTTTATCAATCTAGCTGTCCTGCCAAGTGATCATACATTGATTGTTGCTGTTGTTGTTTCTGTGTACTGTAGAGATGGAACCAACCCATAGCTGACCCGTTTAGTGGGTTTTCAGAGACAGTTAATTGCAAGTGAAAAGATTGCCCACCCTTCTCCCGTGGAGCAGCTGGTGGCCTCAAACAGTGTGCCTTCAGGATTGCAGTGCAGCTTCTTGTCACTAGGCCACAAGAGCTCCTATTCATCTATTAGCTTGTTGAATTCTTCCAACAAACGGAGAGAAAGAGAAGCATAGAGAGGTGGCTGTAACTGGCCCAGGGTCACAAACGTAGAAAAGATGAGCCAGAGAGTGAACTAGCCATTGGTCTCTAGGACTTGCCCTCCTAATGATGCTGCTATAAATCCATTTTCTTAGATGGCTTCTACTTTTAAGTCTGAAGATGTTGTCATCTTCATCTGCAATGTCTTCCCCTCTTATCTTACTAATGGACCCTATCTTTTATGCCACTCAAGACTCATCTGCAGTCCCCTGATGAAGACTTACTGAAGTCATCTAGCTTCTCTGACGTGTTTTCATAAATTTATACTGCCACACAATCAGGTTTGGTGGTAGAACGATCATCTTGCATGCAGGAGAGCCCAATTCAATTCCCAGCCCAGGCACCTCAAGCATTGCCACCACCCATCTGTCAGTGACTGCTGGATATTGCTATGATGCTGTGTGGGTTTCCGTGGTGCTTCTAGACTAGGGCAAGATAGGCAGAAAGGCCGGGAGGTCTACTTCTGAAAATCGGCCAGTGGCAGCCCCACAGATCACCATGAGCCTGTCTCTAGCCCATCCTGCGGATGGTGTAAGAGCTGACACCATTGTGTTCTACTGTGTATGAGTCACCATGAATCAAGCAGGCGTCAACTACCAGTAGTTCCTATTAAATGTTAATAATTGCAGGTCTTTTCATTATAGTGGTTGTTGTTGTATACCATAGAGTCGGAACCGACCCATAGCTGACCCTCCAGCGGATTTTCAGAGGCAGTTCATCTTACAGGAGGAGATTGCCCACCCTTCTCCTGTGGAGAAGCTGGTGGATTTGAATTGTGCACTTTCAGGATTGTAACACAGCTTCTTGTCACCCTTAATATTTTTCTCTTAATGTTTTCTCTCTCTACCTACTTTGTTTCCTCAATTATCTTTATATTCTCCAGTGATATCTGCCTAGCACAACATGGTATGACATACAAGTTTTTCAACAAATGCTAACAGTTGATTGTCTGACTCACTGGAAAAGTTCTAGTGATGATGATGATAACTGTTGATTTAATGTTTAGTGAATTTTGGCCTAAGATCTTTATATATGCTCTCTCATTTAACAATAGATTAAAACCAGATTTAACAAAAACTTCTATCCAGGAGATAGCTACTGTCATTCCCTTTACAAAGAGAAAAGGCACATAGCTAGTGATGTTTTGAGACCTGAATTCAAGCTGGAGTGCTCCTTGAATCACATTTTCCACTGCCCGGGGCTGCCATTGTTCTTAGGCACCACTGATTCGACTGTGACTCGTAGCAACCCCAGGAACAACAGATCTGAACTTTGGCCTATCTTGCACCATTCCCTTCATCTCTGATTGAGCCCATTACTTGAGCCCGTTACTGTGGTCACTGTGTCAATCCATCTTGTTGAGGGTCTTCCTCTCTTTCGCTGACCCTCCACCTTTTCCAGCATGATGTCCTTCCCTAAGGGCTGGAGCCTCCTAACATGCTCAAATGTGTGAACTGAAGCTTCCCCCATCCTTGTCTCCAGAAAGCACCCTGTTAGCACTTGCCCTAAGACACATTCGTTTGTTCTCTGGGGAGCCTGTGTGAGACTCTGCACTCCTCTACAGCACTCCAACTCAAGGGTTTCGGATGTGTTGTTGTTGTTAGGCAACGTCAAGCTGACACAGGTGAACCCAGGAGGACCTGCCCTTCAATTAGGAATGACCCAACCAGCTGCAAGGTGGGGAAGATGTTAGGGTTCCAAAAGAAGCAATTTACCTGCAAGTGTTAATTTCCCCTCATAGAGAAGGTGCCTGTTGGTTGGTGACAAGATGTTTTCTGCCAGATGTTCTTTAAAAATGTGCTTCAGGCACTTGAAAGACAAAGGAGAGAATGAACTAGAGATGTTAGCAGTGATTGGAAGGAACCATGATCAAAGAGTTGGGGCCCTGGATTCTGTCTAGAAAGCTTCAAATTTGGACACGTGAAATATTTGGACACATCAGTGGATGGGCAGCCTTGAAAGAATGTCAACAGCTCTTGGAAAGACATCCTGAGAATGGCGCGATGGCACAAACCTGGCACTCACAACAAACACCTCGTCAATGAACACTTTACTTATTGCTCAGGAAATGACTTATTTTTCAACTCAACAGCTGGTGACTCACTAGGACTATTGTAGTTTCACCTGAAGAGCAAACTTGGGGCAAAGGACATAATCTTGATTGATAATTTGTACCTCGGGAATGCAAAACCTTTTATCTCTATCCCAAAGTGGAGGCCACACTATAATCTCCTGTAGATGTCTAAGTTTCTGGAAATTGTCAAGCCACTTCACTTTTCCTTCAAGATCTCCTGAAAGACAAGACACAGTGTATTTTAAAATTCGTGTGACACTACATCATAAATTCCAACCATGAGTCACGGTAATCATTTCGGAGCACTGACTACCATTGGAGCCAATCTTAGGTTCATTTAACATATTATGTACTGTTTAAATGTCTGAGACAGCTCACTAATATGAATTCAGCCTTTTGCGGGGAAGAATGAAGCTTAACTAATTTAATTCAGTGAGTTGGAAGTGTATTGTGCATTTTAAATTCAAAGGTATCAACACACCCAGTGTAGTTTTCTCTTAATTCCTATATCTCACAGGCTGTGTAGAGAAAAGAACAAAAAAAAAAAGTATTGAATCAGAGAAGAAAACTTTTACAGAGGAAGAATGTATGTTTATGCTTGTTTTTAACACATACATTTGCTTTAAAATATGGATGAGCATTTCTTTTGGGTAATAGCTGATAATTTGCTAAATTTTTTTAATAATAGTTTATTTCTATGTAATTTTCAAACAAGGAGATTCACTGACACATGTGATCACATGAGAGGTAGAACCCTTGAGAATTCATGGCCTTTGAGACAATAGACTTAAAGGAAGGCTACATTCATCTCTTTCCTGACCAATGAGAAGTCTCCGTGAGGAGGTAACTGTTACCTTCTTCTCTAACTGATCAAAAGAGTGAAAAGCCTCAAAATAATTTTAAAAGTGAAGAAAGTCCTCCATATTTAATAAAATGTTTATCCTTCTTTTCATTTTGTAAATACAATTTTAATTCCTTGAGACCAGTTTAGAAAATGTGTACGATTAGGAAAGAAACCTACCATTGAAGGGCCATTTTAAATTGCAACTTGCAAAAGGAAAAAGAAAAAAAATCTAAAGAGCTGTAACCATCCATTTGAATTGTTCTCTTTTGATGCCTTCAAGCTTCGTTAATAAGCATAAATTAGGGACTTCTCCACTAGAATGTCAATTACACAGAGCTACCCCATTAAACTTTAGTCATCGTAGGGCAGGCTCAGTTTCTATTTCTAAACTCTATTCAGGAGACTGAAATAATTTTCCCGTTGGCCTTGGGTTTTAGACACCTAAATGATGAATGGCAATTTGTCCTTCCAAAGGGTCCCCATGGTGCCTGCTCCCCCTGCCACCCCCTCTCCTGCTTTGTGTGTGGGTTCATTATGAATGTTGAAAACAAAGTGCCTTCAATCATCTTGGAAGCAGAACTTTTCCTATACAAACTTACTTCTGAAAGCCTTGGGGACAGAACCATGTCCTGTTGTAAATTTGGTGTTAGACTTCTCATTGGATTTGCCAGGACATGACCAGAGCCCATTGTTTTGTGAGTGTTTGATTTATAATCAACTCAGATGAACATGCACATTTCCCAGAGGCATGACCTTAAGTGAATGGAATTGCCTTCTAGGACGGAAGACAGATGGTTCCCAGGGGCCACACTGCCCACCCATTCTACTTTGATGATGAAACTCCAAGTCACTGATCTCAGAGACTTACGGATTGACCTTTCCACCTTTTCCTTAATGGAATAGATGGTGATTTTCTCCGTCGAGTCAATACTTCTTTTCCAGATATTCTTCAGCAGCAAGGGGTATCGAGTCAGCCTGTGTAGTGGGGCCACCAGCAGCTCTGGCAGGTGAAGCCTCCTGCACTGTTCATTCTGCTCACACCACTGGGAAAAGCAAAGCAGACGCGTTAGAACTCCACCTCTCCCTTCGGAAGCCTGGGCAGCAGACCCTCAGCACAACCACACAATGTACCTATGAGCTTGCTGGGAAACACTAATTGATTTATGTTTACTTAAGTTCATTGTTGGAAGTCCTTGTTCTTCCTAATCTGTAGTGAGCAGTTTCTCTCTCTCTCTCTCTTAACTACATAAAAATTTCTTCTTTCTCCTGTTCCATTTCTGTCACTGAGTCCATGGTTTCTAACTACTGAATCTTCTTCTCTGTTCCCAACTTTTCCATTTCAGTCACCCATTATTATCAATGCATCTTGATTGCAAGTCCGATCAATCTCTGATTGTAAAAGTTGGTAAAAATCTTCTATATCCTCTTCCTTGGCTCTGGTTGTTGGTGCATATATCTGAATGATAGTGGTATTCACTGGACTTCCTTGTATGC